AACTCAATTCTGCATATCATAACGATATTTACGGGAATTCTAACCTATGAGATGCAGACATACGAGATAAAGCTTTTGCATTAACGGCAAAATTCTTGTTTATAATATGATTATTATACAAGCACACCGATTCCGCTTCTCCTGCAAAAACGCTCCCACCGTCTTTGAAACCAGATGTTGGAATACTAGGCAGTGCGTTTCTTTGAACCAGAGTGGTCATGTGACTATCAATGATATCGATGAATTTAAAATGACTATAAAAGTGTTATAGTCACTTTGGATGAATTGTGACCAAAGTGCACGATTTTCAAATCAGACGAAACTTTTAGCAGCATGTCACAGATTTGCAAAATCACCAAATTCACAAAATACCATTAAGTGCCATTTTATTGTAATCACAATGTTGAAAGCACATGGCATTTTCCGGAATTTTGCGATATTTACACAACTATTTCTCATTGATATGCGAGTACGGGTAGGCAAAATTCAATATTTTTTTGAATCTAATATTTTTAACGAGTACCGAATACCAAATATTTTTGGAACGTCGGTAAAAAATCGGCAACAAAGCCTTTTTACTGATTAATTCCGTTGAAATCGCTAATTGTTCTTGTCACCGATCGTTTTGGCGGCGATATTCAGGTTTTGGTAATCTATATTCCCGCCCTCTCTTTTTTACAAATATGAATTCTTGCGGGTCGGCGGACATCGAAGTTTTATATTTCGGGTTTACCCGTTCATTCACATCGGCAACAGCCTTTGAAGACATTGAGGACTCAAATTAACATTTGCGTTGGCTTTAATACCTATCAAGATTTGTATATTTACCGTCCCAATTTTATGCGAATGGTAATATTATTGTCGATACTGTGATGCAGATACTTATTAAGATGATAATTAACTTTCCCATGTTTTTCTATGGTGATAAACTTCGCAAATCTGAAATTGTGCCAATCCTGAATGTTGATTTAAAATAGTGATTGAATAATTCGGCAATAAAGGCATTTCTGCGTGGTCATAAGACAAGATGACGTTAATGAACAGCACTTCTTTTACAGGATATTTTACGTATGCGACTTAATGCTAAAAGATTGGGCTCGAGTGCTTTTTTTTTCGAGTGCTCGAGTGCCTAATAGAGGTCTGGCGCTAATTGTAACTAATTCCCTCAAATTTTCAACGTGTTTTCAACAAAACAATACCCCGGCGATAATTATAGCTAATATGTTACCGAGCAATTCACAATTTTATTTATGGAATTTGCAAATTCACCATTTTCTTGACGATTTTGATAATGTCACGCCCTAATTATTAGTGCAAAAAATACTCCCCTTCTTCCGCGGCGGTTTGACGGGTTCTTTGTTCCATTCTTCAGAAAGTTCTGACAGGGGGATATAGAATACTGAATCCGGAGGGTTGAATCCCTGTCGACTTACTGGCGATTTTCCGTTTTGGAATGGGTGAAACATTCTCTATTTTTAAATTAAATGACGTTTCGCGGGCTAGAGTTCTCCCCGAATATGATGTGTACCAGACGTTAGTCAGACGATAGATAAAACATTAGATCAATAATGACGCCCAGTTTTCGAAAATACAAAGTTATATCGCAAAAAATTCGTTTTGATACATTTGGAATGAAACATTATTTACGGTTAATTCAGATCATATTTTACTCTTCATGACACCCGGTATCCGAAAATACAGTTGTATCGCGAAAAATGTGTTTTGTTACATTTAAAATAAAACATTTTTAGATCATATTTTACTTTTCACGACATCCGTTTCCGAAAATACAAGGTTGTATCGCGAAAATGTGTTTTGTAACATTTAAAATAAAACATTTTTGCGATTAATTTAGTTCATATTATACTTTTCAGGATACTCGTTTTCGAAAATACAAGGTTATATCGCAAAATGTGTTTTGTTACATTTAAAATAAAACATTTTTGCGATTAATTCACCTAGATCAAATTTTACTTTTCACGGCAACCCGTTTCCGAAAATAAAAAATTAAGTCACAAAAAAATGCGTTTTGTTACATTTATTTTGCATTCCCAATAAAATACATATTTTCCCTAATTAAGGTCGTCGATGAATCTGTTCCTGTCGTTCAAGCTCGACACACGTTTGGACGAGTGTGGGGCGGTTTTTTGGTCGACGATAAATTAAAAAGTTGCCACACGTTTTATTTGTATAACGATAATAACTGAAAATTAAGATTTTGCAATAGAAGTGAATTTGTCTCAAGATGGTATTTTACGATTCTTGCCCACAGAAAATAAACACGCTGACAGGCTTGGTTATAATTGATATCCGTTTAATTTATTTTACACTATTAATAAACGCGCCACACCAAGTGCGGCCATATATATTGCAGTCGCATCGGTATGGACTGTATCTTTTTGGCGCTCTCACATTAATAATAATTTTCAACAAAACAATACCCCGACGGTCATTAAAGCTGAATTCGTTACCGAGTAATTCACAATTTTATTTACGGAATTTGCAATTTCAAGATCTCACTTGATGATGTCATGCCCTAATTATTACTGCTTAAATGCCTCAAAATACAACAAATGTAATCATTTTCGACAATAACAGTAGGAAAGTATTTATTTATCATCTCACTTGCGAACATCGAGGTTTTGGCGGAATTGTACGATCATGTTGTCTTAAATAATAACTTTTTCAAAAAATGTTCATTTTACTTTTGCGTCTTTATTATATGTCGGGTTTTAATTTATTTTAAATTCGAAATTGTCCGAAATACTCCAACAGGTGTATAAGTACAATAATAATAGTACTTACCAAAGTACTTACCAGGGAAGTTTAATACACACGATGTGTTAAGGGCGTCGTAACCCCCGTTTTTGTATTTGATTTTTTTACATTCTGCTTAAAAAACAACGTCGTTTTGCAGTCATCTAACGTAACTCTCGCGACCAAATCTTTTTTGTTTTGTATGACATCGTCTTGGCGCAATTTATTGCCGACTGAAATTTTAATTGTGTTTTAGAATACCGTAAGTTATTTTCTGTTTGTTGGTTTCTAAACTTTACAAACTTGGGTAGCAATTACTATTAATGTGAGATTTGTGCATATGAACGATTGAATATCGCGACTGGATGTCCGATATCTGAGAATGCGTACTTCTCTTTCAACATTAATTTTCAGGATATCAGCGTTCATGTGGTCGAATAAAAATTATTTATCACATGGATTGGTATTTAGAGACACTTTCAAAATTATTTGGGATCCACTATCATATCATTCGTTTATTTTCTATATTCATGTTTTTTTCAAGAATCACCCTGTTATATTTCGTGTACCTTCGCAAAAGAAAACTCTTTGGTGTAATCGTTCCTATTAGTGTAATTGAAATATATGGAAACCTCGCAAGTGGCGTTGTGATGCGAATATTTGATACTAGGTCAGCAGCATTACAAAGAGTGCTATTTATGAATGCTGAAAGTACATGGCCTTACTAAACATTTTGCCAATATATGATGTTTTCTGTCCGAAATCGCAGCAAACCAAGGCATGTCGACATTTAAAAATTACTTGTCTTTGGGTAAGCTCTGAAATAGTATAATATAAATGTAAGTGAGAAATTAGATCACGCTAGCTCAGGAAACGGGAGGATTTTCAAAGTGATCTTGTGTAATATTTCGGAGAAAAAAGTTTGAAAGGAAAGTAGGTCAACCTATCTCCTAAAACAGGGGAGTATCCTGCATAATATTTCGTAGGGAACGTAGGTTAACCTATCTTTTAAAACAGCGGGTGGCGACTTTCAAAGTGGTTCAAAATCACAAATTAATATTCATCAGATTAGGTTTAGTGATAAATCGAAAAGTTGAATTTCCAGCGCACCTAACCCTAATTAGTTGATTACTATTTATATTTTTTTTTTGGGGGGGGGGGATTATTTTGCACGGGATTTGTACAAATGATCCACCCTGTAACTAATATGGTTTCCAGCCTGCATGTATCAATCGTTGTCTGTTAGTTGGAAGGAGTATCAAATATGAAAGCCTTTGCTGTTAACGCAATTAAGCAACTGACACCGTGATACATTGCATGAAAGCCGCAGGTGTTAGCAGATGTCCTTTCGTTGTCTATGAATTCGCTTGTTTTAATTAAACATGAATTCGCTTGAAGGGAACTCGGTTAACGGAAAGGCTTCTCTTTAATTCATAATATTAACCGGAGGAGCGCTTTTCCGAGTATCTATGCCGTTTTAAATGGGTTATATGAAAGGCTAGGGCACCTAACTTGTTAAAATAGGCAAAAGCACTTTCGCACTTTTTTTTTCGACTGCGAAGCACTTTCGCACTCATAATTCGCTTAGAGTTAACACTGAGTGCAACAATATTTGTCAGTGGGCCATATAACCAGCTTTAGACATCTCGCTAGGCCACAGACAAAAAATGTTTCTCCATGTACGCAACAAAGTGCAACCACGATAGGGGATTATTTCGTCACACTATGTTTTAAACAAATGTTATAAAATCCTGCAGCAACGAAATACATTAGCGACAACTATTGACAAGGGCCACACAAATTGGCTTGGCGGGCCAGATTGTGGCCCACAGGACACCTGTTGCACATCCCGTACTAAAGCATCCTTGCATTATATGGATTCACTCCCGCATAGGCAAGGAAAGTAATTAGTCTCGCACAATCCCAACGGGTAGTGGTAAGTTTAAAATTTGATTCTTGATTTGAGGAAATTTCCAGAATTGTTTCGTTTGAAAAATCATCATGATAAGCCTTTGCAGAGGAAGAATAAACATTCAATGTCAACATTTTTACAAAAAAATATCAGACTCCCAAAGTAATAGAAAAGGTAACATACAAATGAAAAAACATTGTAAATTAAACACAAGATGCTAAGCTCTAGATCAGTGTTTCTCAAATTGTATGGCGCGCCCCACAAGAGGAGTGTAAACAACTTTTTGAGGGGACGTGTTGACAAATACTTTCGCCTTACTACCTGTTATTAGTAGCTATGGTTGTTATTTTGAGGTGGGGAATGAGAACTGACAAATTCAAAAAAGTTTGAGAAACACTGCTCTAGTTTTTACTTGAGATTTCAAGGACTGCATCATTTCTTTTTCTAGATTGTGACACATTGAATTTAAAAAGCCCGTGCTATTACCCCCCCCCCCAATTTGTTCGATTTTTTACGTGTATGAATAGCTTATACTAGTACGAAGTCAGTATTTGAGTTGTCTATTATGCAAACGATTATTAACTTCCCATATCAACGTCTCCACCCCCTTCAAACCCTCAAAATATACAGGGTGTCCATAAAAATCTGTTACAATTTTAATATATTGAGATTAAACCAAAAGTCCGAGAATGTGAAAGAAACCAAGGCAGCAGCAAAGGCCAATAAAAAAACTTGCACAAAGAAGTGACTGGAAGCATCTAGCACCCACCAACAACCTAGACCTAGAAATTTAAATATATAATTTTAATCTCAATATATCCTAACCAGGTTTGTTGTTTTAGAATCAGTAATTGTTCAAGTATTTTTTACTTCATTTAATACATCTGTGCAGGTCAAAACAATATATGTTATTGATAAATTCCATTTGCAATTTAAAAATGTTAAGACTTTATGGACACCCAATATGACAAAACCAAATTAATGCACTCCTCATCAAACTTACAGATCCACATCGAAAGTCAACATCTTATTTCAAATCAGTTAAACAACCAGTGTAAAAAAACTTTATAGTAGCACAAAAGGAAGATTTGGTTTTTTTGAAACGCAATAAAATTTTTGATTGCCCAGTCAACCCCCTTGGCCCTCCCTGGAATCCATGCATTCTTCATTTAACTCACTGCTCCAAACCAGGGACATGACCAGGAGTTTTCAAGGGGTTGGGGATTCCCAAGTTATACCGTAGAAGCTAGCGCAGGGGTCAACCCGCGATGAGATTTTGACCGGCCCGCTGACTGTACATCAATACAATATGATATTACATTATTACACTTTTAGTACATTATGATAAATTCATTATGTGTTTTTTATTCTCTATTTTTTGTAAACTTTACTTTAAACGCGATTTATAACTTTCTTTCTTGCATTAGTGAATGAATATGTGATTAAGATATTGAATACTAATCATGTTATAATCCGGCCCATCGACGACTTCATTTTCCTACATCTGGCCCGCCGACTAGAGAAGTTACCCACCCCTGAGCTGGCGAGTCAAGCCAGAGGCCAGAAAGAGTGGTTATTCAAGAATCCCACCCCCCTTTTAATAAGGCCATAAAACGTGGGTCTCGAGGATTTAAAAAGGGTTTCAAGCGTGTGATACAGAAAAAAGACCTTTTTCCATTTCAAAAAAAGGGGGAAGAAGGTTCCAACCCCCCTGGTTATGCCCCTGCTCTGAACCCTAAAGTCCTACCAGAATGAGTTCGGAGGAGTAGATTTTCGACTTAAACCTCCGCATAATCTGGGACACAAGATGGCTTTGCTATAGTTTGTCTTTACTTCCTATATTTTCATGTGTTCACTCCAAAAAGTAAGTTTTGTGAGCTTCCACTGATATCTGAAAGCTTGGAACCGGGGAGGGGGAAGTCCCGCTAGTCACAAGTGTAAGAAAACGAGCAAAAAAGTGTGAATTGTTAAAAGTCAGTTTCTTATTCGGGAGGAACCACTGTTCTTTGTGGTACGACTTCTTCTTGTTATTTCTTTAGTAATACCTGAAATAAAAATGTATTTTTGAGAAATGAAAGAGAATCGGATTTCCTATAGAATGGTGGAAATTACAAGAAAGTTAGAATTTAATGCAGAGAGAGGAAGGAAATCTAAAAAGCATTTCAAGCTCCAAAAATTGCTGTATGATACAGAAATTTTTTGGACCTCCTGAAGTATGCGCGCCAAGATGGCGCACAACCTGAACTCAGGTTGTGTACCAGGTTAGATTTCAGGTTGTGCGACATCTTGGTGCGAATACTTAAGGAGTACTAATTTTTTTTTTTTACATTTCAAAAGATGAGGGTTCTGACCCACAGAACCACCCCCTGGCTAAACTCATTTAAAAACTGGAATGCCAACATGGTCTCATCCAACCTTCTAACCTAAGTATGTAAGGTTTGGGGCCTGGGGCCAAAAATTTTGCCCATCCAGACTGGCGGGCCATGTAAGTGTGACGTAAAAGTTACATTTTATGAACAATATTTGCAGCGTTACAAAAGCAGAAGTGTGAAACAATAACCCTCATGCCGAAACAAAATCGAATCGCAATCTTAACAAATTCCTTGAGTTATTTTTACCTAAAACATCAAAATTTGGTTTTAGTTAGATTGTGGCAGCATTAGGCGGGCCAGATTGAATTACCCAACGGGCCGGATCTGGCCTGCGGGCTGTAGTTTGCCCATAGTCTAACCATTAGGTTAGCAATAGTTCAAATAATGTTAGAGAGAACACCAACCTTTCTAGACAATTCAGGTTGCCCCTGCTGTAACATCTGCATCCCCTGCTGCTGTTGTCGTAGAAACGACCTTGGACTGTTCCTGCATTTTAGTTGCTGCAATTTTAGAGATTTCATTGACACTAGGTGTCTCAACAGTACCAATTTCGTCTTCACCCCCATCTTTTGTCGACGACCCCACAACTCCGTTGCTATGGCGACTGTCCTCATTGGTACCAGTGTCGTGATTGGAATCAACATTTTGGACTCCAGTGGCCTCCCCTCCCCCAGGTTTTTCAGCATTTTTAGGGGAATCCCCAAGTTCAGCTTCTGGGTCAATAATCTCAAAGTCATCATCATTGGTATCTTGACCTTGAAGTAACCTTTTGTCATTGTCAGGGTCATCTGTGACCCCAAGGTCATCTTCGTTTTCCTGGTAATATTCTTCTTCTTCATCAGATTCCAAATAATCGTCGTCGATGTTGATTACTTCGCCTTTAGGCCTTCTGTTTGAAAACAAAGGTTTATTTTTTTTTGCTGAAAGCAAGAATGTAGACGCAAGAATGTAGACCAGTGACCATAAAAAGGAATTTATGCTTCTTTTGCAAGAATGGCACGATTATCTAGTGCAGCTGGTCTCAGCTCCCTCCCAAGAAGTGATTTTACTTTTTAGGGAATGAAATTCTACTTGCATTTGCTAAAAAGGCTTTAGACCAGACATTGGCAAAGTACGACCCCCGGGCCAAATCGGGCCCGTTGAGTAATTCCATCTCCTGATCCTGCCACAACCAAATTAAAATCAAATTTTGATGTTTTAGCTAAAATAGCTCAAGGAATTTGTTGAGATTGTGGTTAAATTTAGTTTCGTCGAGGTTTATAGTTTTCTACTTTTGCTTTGTATAAAACCAAAATAGTGTTCAACAATGTAATTTTTTACTTCACACTTACACATGCCCCGTTAGTCTAAGTGGGCAAAATTTTTGACGCTTGGTTAAAAATCCATGCCCACCCTTCCTCTAGAGAGGTGTACTCAGTGGTGGGATTCAGCCGGTTCGCACCGGTTCAATAGAACCATCTCACAGAATTTTATGAGATCAGCGAACTGGTTAGCACTACTGAAAAAAAACATATAACAGAAACGGTCGAAAAATAAGACTTTTGTGATGGAACCAGCTGACGAAAAATTCGAATCCCACCACTGGGTATACTGTAATGAAGGCTTTTCAGCGTGACTGGGGTATGTATACCCAGCAGTGGGGCAGGCATAAAAAAAATCCATGGATCGACTGTGATGGGACCAGTAGCCCTGGCTTGACAAATACTCATTCAGAGAATGCAGGCGACTACATACCTGTCTTGTAATTGCATATTTCTCGGTTGGCTTCCCATACCACCAGATGTCCCCGTAACATCTAATTCTTCGTCCTCCTCGTCAAATTCATCGTATTCATCATCGTCTTGTTCTTCTTCTAAAGAAAATTTTCAACAGTCAGAATTGGGAACAATTAACCATTTACCTAGGACTTTGAAACCAAGCCCATTTTTGATGGCGGCTCGGCACGACAGATAGGGATGACTAACTACGGCAAGGCTGCCCAACCCACGGCCCACTGGAAACACAAATATACCACTAAATATTGACGTCTTTGTCTGTTAGCGAAGGATGAGTGTAGATCATTGTTTGGTCATCAGAAATGCGCTGTGCAATAGCGTTTGATTCAGAGATGCACAAGTTATGTGTTACCAGAAATTCGTAAAGTAAACACATATTCTGTTATTCGTTCAATATTCGAATATTTCGCCCAGCCTGTCTCGGTAACAAGCAGGTATTGACTCAATTGATTATATATAAACAAACTTGCTTTTTATATGTATTATTTAAATTATAACGTAAATCAGAATATAATTGGGTACTTGATTAAGTTTGGTAAAAACGTTTGCGGTCCGTAATGAACCTGCTCATGTAAAAGTGGCCCGCGATATCAAAAAGGTTGGGCAGTCCTGAAATACAGAATTCTAGTTTCTACAAAAAGTGAGGCAGAGGTGATGAAAGTTCAAATAATCAGTTTTTCAACTAAGAAATAACCACTGCCTATGTTTCTCAAGTGGAAAAACTTTTCCATATACCACGCCATTCAATGAAATCTGAGAGCTTTCTTCACTTTTGATATAGTGCACCAAGCCCATTTTCGGTGACAGCTCGACACAGCCAATGGGGATGAGTGAATTATATCTGTTTTCACTAAGAGCGAAACTGTGGTGATTGGAATTCAAAAACTTCAAGTAAAACTGACCTTCGTCATCTTGTACTAGGTAATGTGTTGATGAAGTCTGTCCTTTGTCTCCTGTAAGGAGAAAACAGTGTCAGTGAGCCGGCTCAATCATATGGCGAACCACAACCATTAGCAATTCAGATTCAATTTTCCTATCAAAACTTATTTATTCATCGCTAAAATTGAAATTTCATAGAAAATGATTTTTTCTGTCTATCCCACAGGAAAGTAAAGTTGATAAGATGGTCTGACTTTCATTCGATTACCAGACAATGTCAGGTAAGAGATTATTCAGCCAGTTATTTTTTCAGATACATGGACTCGATGGTGGAGGAAACCATAACCGACCAGTAGTGAGAAGTCCAGCAATCATCTCAAACATAATTAGGTGCTCCCGAAGTATGCGAACGAAGATGGCGGACATCGGAACGTAACATGGGTAACAGGTTAGGGTTAGGCGATAATTTTTTTCCAATTTTCCTTATTTTAGTCCTATTATCAGTTCGAAGACTAGCCAAGAGCCTCCCGTAGTATTTATACCTAAAATTATGGCCTAACTCTAACCTAGTACACATATTACATTCCGATGTCCGCCATCTTGGTTCGCATACTTCGGGAGCCCCCATAATTATCTGCCACATGATTCAAACCAGAGAATCCATGCAGGGTAATGGGTGAATCCAGATGAACAGGGTTGTCCGTCCAACTCGACAATTGAAAATTTTTGGTTATGCCCTTGTGCGGCGTAATGTTCCTCATGTAATGACCAGTCCACCAATCCTATGACACATAGTTCTATACAACAGGATTTGAACCTCGTAAGTTGTAACTCTCCACACATAGCATTGTGTGGCACAAAATTGTTACTAGGACTAGGAGTACGATACACCAACTGTCAAAATTTCAAAGGAGATCTACTTCCTATATTTTTGACATTTAACCTTTGACCACTGACCTTGCCATTCCACTTCCTCTTCATCACTGCTGATGTATTCAACATCATCATCACGACTGTCATCAAGAAGAACAACGGAATCGTCTTTGTTTAAGTTCCTTGAATGAGAATACAGAATTCAAAGGTGGTTTGATAGTTTCTATTTACGACATTCATTATACACGCTTTTCAATTCACTCAAATCTCTGTACGCTGGTACCCCGTTGGCCACTGTGCTAGTTGCAATTATTACATTTGATCGGGAAGATGTTACACTCCACTATATTTTTTTGAAAATAAATTTTATTCATGTTTTTACCAAATTTTAGTGAAAATGCCCATTTTTGTTAAACAAAAGGCCAAAAGGCGAAGTAATCAACTTCGACGACGATTATTTGGAATCTGACGAAGAAGAAGAATATTACCAGGAAAGCGAAGATGACCTTGACAATGACAAGATGTTACTTCAAGGTCAAGAGGTCAACAATGATGACTTTGAGATTATTGACCTAAAAGCTGAACTTGGAGATTCCCCTCAAAATGCTGAAAAACCTGGGGGAGGGAAGGTTACTGAAGACCAAAATGTGACAAAATCATTGGCAGTATATAGACACCTAGTGGCAATAAATACTCACCCGCTGTCGTCAGGATCATCTGACTCAGATTCATCTGCTTGCTTGTTGCTCATCAAGAAACATTGGAGTGGGTTCGGCCATAAATCGTCTTTGATAATCTGAAAAAGTATTAGATCTTCAGAGTTTGGGTCTCCATCACTAAAGGCAGTCAAAACCAAGGCTGCAGAAGAGGGAATTTACACCTGGCTGAGAGCTGTTTTAAAACTGATGTTGGCTCTGGATTGGATAGCAACAAAAAAAATTGTAAAACTCTCGATTCCAAAGCTCTACACCGCAACTGAGGTGTACCATATTGTGTAAGACAAGTTTAACCTTATGAACCTTTTCCAAGGCAATGTAATCACAGTGGGTTATATATAGGGTGTCCATAAAGTCTTAATATTTTTCAAAATTGCAAAGGAAATTTATCGATACCATATATTGTTTTGGCCCTCACAGATGTATTAAATGAAGTAAAAATACTTGAAAAATTACTGATTAAAAACAACAAACCTGGTTAAGATATATTGAGAACTGACTTCATAACAAAATTGAAATCATAAAAGGACTTTATGGACAGACACCCTGTATATTTCATATGATCTGAGTAAATTTTGCCTTTTATATACCGAGAGCACTTGAAAAATGCTATGTATAAATTTTTCTTACCTCTGCAATATCATCAGCTGAGGCATCTTCCTGGCTCGTAAACCAGCTGAAAAAGCTGGAAGATTTCATCGGTAAATTCATTCCCTTCTTCCATTGAATTGGAGTACAGGAACAGGAGGGAGAACCTGGAAAAGCATGGAAAATGGAACTTACATTCAGCAGAAAAACACTTGAGCATAACTGTTGAGACACATCAAAGTGCCTTCAATAAGAAAGAATAATTGGTAATTTCCTTTTTTCGAAAATGGTGCTATTTTTTATGTGGCATTCTCAGATGTTCACTTCAAACAAGGGGACCTCCTGAAGTATGCGCACCAAGACGGCGCACAACCTAACCTCAGGTTGTGTACAAGGTTAGGGTTCAGGTTGTGTGACATCTTGGTGAGCATACTTCAGGAGTACCAAACAAGGCTCTATAAAAGCAGCAACTGATGTGTAAAAAGCTGCTCTTTTTGGACTTATTTGGAGTTGGATTGAATTTTGACAAAACGCATGACAACAAAGCTAGGTCCAACATTACTATGTCATGAAATAAGATATATTGGAACAATAGACCAAAAAGACTCCTTTCAGTGAGTAGTTACTTGCTTAGAGTAAAGTCTTGCTAAAAATATAATCAGAGGATGATGAGAAACAATGTACAACTCTCATATATTTTGGAGTGGCAATATCGTACCCCCTCTCCTCTTTTAAAAAAAACACTCACCATGCCATGGTAGATGATATTCCTTAGTTATAGCTCTGTTCTCGAACCAGGGATTCTCACTGAAGTAAAATTGGATGCTGTAACCTGACCTGTTTTCTTCAAAGTCTTCAACCTGAGAATAAAAATGGCTGATTGAGGATTGCATGAGAAAAGCTGTGATTCCATGAACTTATAATAATGATCTAATCGAACTTTGTTGGCCGGGAAACACTAAGCATTCTTAGAGTCAAATCAATGATCGTCAAATGTTCATGTTTCAAGTAAAACTATTCTATATTATTCCAAATTCTAGGACTTGGAGTACTGAATATGATCGATTTGGAATATTATATCCACGTTGAAGTTTTTGGCATCCATGATTGTGAATACTGGTAGCAGTCTAAATAATAAATTGGGCAGGCGGCCCTGGAATATATGTACAAGATGGTGCACAACCTGAATCCTAATCTGGTACACATACTGTGTTCAGGTTGTGCGTCATCTTGGGAGCTCCACAAATTGTACAGGACCATGCTCCAAGAAAAGCAACATATCACATCAGAGACTAAACTCCCTAGAAAACATGCCAAAAACTAAACAAGCTTCATTAACCATATATTGACCTCTTGTACAGAGACTCACTAAGAGCATTAAGAACTTTGCCAAAACTGCAGACTTTTTTAGAGGCTTGAAAAACTCATCCAATAATATCAGATGAGTAAGAGACTGCGATCATTTCAGAAAATGAAGCCTCCCAAAGCCTTCATCTAATATTTGCAAAGTAGTCGAATAACCAATCACGACGTTAGTAATCTCACAAGCTCAGGACTTCTTAGAGGTTGAATTACTCATCAGAAATAATCAGATGAGTAAGGAGAAAGTCATCATTGCTTGTAGATTTGCGCAGAGTGTGCATAATGAATCCAGAGAATTTGAAAAACAAGAAATTGTATCGCACTATTTGTCTTGGCTCGCCTAAATTGATTGAAAATCAGTGGCACCCAAATAAGGTATAAAAATTGGGACCTCTAGAAGTATGTGCACCAAGATGGCACACAACATGAACATAGTAGTTGTACCAGGTTAGGGTTCAAGTTGTGCGCCATCTTGGTGCACATACTTCGAGAGAGCCAAAAATTGGGGCTGCGAAGATCCCAGAGATTAACTATTGAAGTTTGAGATGGATTGGTCAGATAATTGAAAATGACGATTTTTGCCTGGAAGCAAAAAAAAAATAGTCCGATATAATTCATAGCCAAACTTGGGTGTTCAAAATAGAACAGATGGAACTTCTTGTTCTGTGAAAATTTCCATAAAAAAATCAGATATTTGAATAAATTGAAAATTCACTGTTATTATATATTTTAAATTCATGATTCCAGGGCCTGCTATTTCTGATGAAACATATACCTAAATACATAAATAATCTTACCTGTAGTTTTGTGACGTATTTCAGACACTTTAGATCTTCTTTGGTTAGGACCTGCCGTAACTGCCTGTGCTGTGAAAACTGGTGGAAAAAAGATATGCTAAGGAGAAATGCTGTGGAATAATTGTACGTGAAACGGCTACCGATACTGTAATTCAAAATCAGTTATTTTCGATAAAGTCAATTTCCTGATTTAGATATCCCAATCACATTAGTAATCTTAAACTCTTTGCAATCGGATTTCAGGCTAGGAATAGAAATTTTCAATGGAATGTGCAAAACATTAATTTTGGGGGGGGTGTGCGGGTCGAAACCTCCATTTTATATTATAAAAAAAGTTTTCTGTTTCATACAGAGCAATTTATCGTAGCTTGAAACGATTTTTAAAGACTCTTGAAAACCGTCTAGCTCAGGGGTGGGTAACATACAGAGCGAGACATAATAGCGAGATTTTGACCGGCCCGCTGACTGTATCCAACCACACTCTGTAATGTGATCCGACGCATCATTCATGAAAGTTGCCGATCGCTCTACTCTCACCGCACTGTCAGTGCGAGCTGGTGAAATAAACAATTGCCTTAGTGAACAAACAATTGCGTTAGCACACTCATTTTAGAAATTAGATTTTATAGTAAGTTTTATTAACCATGGAATATCGCAAGAAACGTAAAGTTGACAGAGAGTGTCGAGCATTTAACAAAGATTGGATACCGAAGTATTTTTTGTAATAATCCGGCCCGCCGAAGACTTCATTTTCCCCCATCTGGCCCGCCGACTAGAAAAGTTGCCTACCCCTGGTCTAGGTGTTACGGCCTAACTTGACAATTTTAGAAGCCCCCCTGCTTGAAAATTCAGGACTACGTTCCTGGTGCAAAAGTATAGCTGTTAAAATTTCATTTTTAGCGTCAAGAGCCAGAGAGTCAAAATTTTCGTCAACCAAATGTCGAGCAATGAATTAGAGTTTGGAATCAAGAGTTGGGTTCGAATTTTCCTCTACCTCACTGCTCCATCTACATGCAAATTTAACAACTTTTAAAAAGGATACGACAGTTGCCCAGAAATGTGGGACTCTTTCAATATATGTGTTTCTTCTTTTATAAACTGGAAGGCGTAATCTGTTATATTTCAGCTCGACGAGAAGGATTTCTTCGTTTGCTTTGTGATTTAAAGTGTCGATATCGGACTGACAATCTTCTATGTAGGCAAGATTTGCTTGGACAAAATCATGCAGTTCTGTTGAAGCTGGAATAAGAATGAAAAAAATTTATTGAAGTTTTGTGGAAAGATTCTTATCCTTTATTCCATTGTTTCTCAAACTGTGGGGCATGCGCCACAAGGGGGGGTGTGAACAATTTTTTAAGGGGGCGTGAGGCTAATTAAAACTAATTGTTAGATCTGATCTTGTCAGTCTTATTTGTTTTTAAAATTTTCATTTATTTCATAATTTCCGTTCCATCCACTTGTTTCTGATGTGATTATGGAATAAAACATACTTTCGCCTTACTATCTGGTATTCATAGCTTTTTGTTAGCTCGTTATTTTTGAGTGGGGGCGCGAGACAAATTCTAAAAAGGGGGGTGCAGCTTAAAAACTTTGAAATTGAAATTCATCCCCTGAATTGTGCGGACTTTTTCTTCCATTGCTCTAGTAAAATGAGAAAACAATGACACTAGGCTAGACCGCACGCCCTTAATTAAGACAGTCTTTGACAGTCTGGATAAAATATGGAAGCCCTATTTCTGTCCTGATCCAAGTCAAAAACTATCAATTTGACAAATTTCCAATTGTTTTACATGTTTTTATCAAATAAGTTCAAATTTCGATATACCTGTAGTGTGGGTACCAGGTTAGGGTTGGGGCATAATTTTATTCCGTTTTTTCCTATTTTAGTTCTATTACGAGTTCAGAGACTGTCTGTGTTAACCAAGTGAATATACCCCCTGTACATAGGCTTCCGTCCATTTACACAAATTGATGTAAAATAGGCAAACAAAATTAGTTACCTCCATTTTGGAACACATCTAGTTTTTTTTCAAACGGGGTAACGCTGGTAATAAACAGTGGGGCAATAGTGTAAAAATACGTTGAAAAGGTTCAAACCCTGGCCTCCAACTTACAATCAGCTTCCTCTTGTATATTATCCTCAGTCTCCTCTGCCGTTGTTCCAAGCTCGTCTTCTTCATCATAAATATCTCCTTCCCCCTCCTCGTCAAAATCCCCGTCTTCAAACTCCTCCACGGCAGGCTGGTCCGACTCCCCGGCATAATCCCCTTCAAGGTCTAATTGCTCTAAGACAAATATTAATTTTTTATTTGAACTACAAATTTTGGAAGGCAGTTATTGGAATTGGCCCAAAATCCAAAATTCATGAGATTTTCAGGAGATTTTGAAACATTACGGGCCATTTAAATAGCAAAAAATATGCACACTCACTTAGAAGTACAAAAACTTATTTCTGAACAAAGCTACAGGCACTCACTTATAAGTAAAGGGAACTTTTATCTAAGCTAAGTTACAGAGACTAATGAAATGCATAATTACGCTCACTAAAATGTAGAGGAAACTCTTCTCTGAGTGAAATCGTGGGCAGACACTGACATATGAGGAGCTACTAACAAACTACTAGAAACAGATGGCAATGGTACAATTGCGGCGCAAAAACTGAAAGTATGACTTTACTGGGTAACCAAAAAAATATATCGTAGGAAAGGGACATGTCTGAATGCCTGGTAGTCTGAAGCCTAGTTAAAATAAATAAATTTATAAAATCATAGTGTATAGTGTCCATTGGATGTGCAACCTATTTGGTCACTTCCTAATACATAGTTGCTTGTCCATATTTTTGTTTAAACAAAAGTTTGAAAAATAAATAAAAACATTGTTCAATTGAATCAGTTTCCCCTCTTATAATTTTACCTTCATCCTCCTCTCCTTCGACATCTTTTCCGTCCATTCCCTCAAAATCATCTTCTCCTAAATCTACATCAGAATCGACTTCATTAATTGGAATCAAGGTTTGCTCCGCCCCTTGAAAGACCTCATTGGCTGAAGGGCCTTTCAACTCCGTCTCCTCTGCTCTCTCATTGGCCTCTAGTTCAGCGTCATCTTCTATTATCTGATCGGCGAGCTCTTCATCAGTGAGTCTTCGAACTTTTTTAGGAATTGTAGGATCGTTGTTTTCATCGACATCCGCGGATCGTATCTGGGATTTGCGACTCTCTGGCTCTAGATAGTGTACAAAAACAATTACAAATCCGCATATTCTATATTTGGAGGTTCTAAGGGTAATTATTTATCTGAGTGGGCCAGTTACAGACCATAGACTTGGTTACTGGGCCGGAGATTCAAAACAATGAATAAAAACAGTTTATTTACAACAGCTAGGCTAACGTTTATATAATAATAAGAAGCACAAAGTAACGATCGGGGTAATTTTGACTAGAGCTCGGCCGATATCACTTTTTGACGCAGATACCGATCGGCCAACTAGTGGCCGATAACCGATATCGCAATGCCGATATTATTATAAATCATATATTGAGCTACGCTTTTATGATGCACTTTGTGAGTCTGTAGTTTCATTTTGATATTTGTTATCATGGCAGTAAAACTTTTATTTAACTAACTTCAGTTAATGCTTGAACAAATGTTATTCTGTAATTTTTCCTGCTACTTCAATATCAGTCTAGATATTTCCAGGAAAAAGAATTGTTAATCAGACGTTTTTAAATATAACTATGGACATATGTTAAGGATATTAAAAAATTATAAATTGATATATTTTAAAGTGAATCGTGATAATGATCCTTCGATATCGTGATAGCATATGTGCAGTTACATGTGAAATTTTTAATGACTTTGTTTCCAGATACTCTCAATACCTTATTTAGTCAATAATAATGGATTAAGTTTTTATTTTGTAAGTTTCAGCAAAATGATATACAACCATCAAGATCAACAAAACTCTTACCCCAGAAATTTAAAATTGATTTTGGGGAGGTCACAAAATCGAAACTGACACTATTGCTTTGAGCTACCTGTACCATGTTTCAATGATCACTAACTCACCAGCTTCCAATCGATTCTATTTATAGAATCACTGTTTAATGCTGTTACTAAATTTGTCTTTTTCTCATTGTGTATTCTCTCAAAAACGTCACTTTATAAAACTGTCATTGTTACTCCAGATAATAACCTTTCAGTTATGACCATGCATGAAATGGCCAATCATAAGACACCGGGGAATTAGGAGAGACACCTTTATAACGCAAAATGAAAGCGAGAGAATATATCGGGAAACCAGTTACGCAGGGGCGAGAGCCGTTGCAGCACGCAGCCCGACGCTTGCCAAGTATGGCCGATATATATCGGCGGTTTACGGCCGATATGATATATCGGCAAACATGCAATACCGGCCCGATATATCGGTTGGCCAATATATCGGTCGAGCTCTTATTATGACGTGATTTACGCTGATATTTTCAACAAAAATTTATATTTACGAAAACTATAGGCAGGCACAAGTAGGTTGGATGAAGCACTTCAGTGGCCAAATCTGGACCGTGAGCAATAGTTGCCCACCCCTGTCCTAAGTTTATGAACAATTGAGCATTTAGCTTGAAACTAGCTTCAATTAAATTTGTTTTAAAGTAAAATATATACAGCATAATTAAACTGGTTGCAGCTCTATTATCTGAATCCTCACCACTTGAGAGCTTTGTTATGAGAAAACTTTATGAAAATATTATTTTACCTGTGACTGGTTGTGCTGCATCTCCACCCTCAGTTACATTTTCCATTTTTTTTGAGAATTAGATAATCCAAAATAAGGAATATATCCAACAAATATCAATAATATAATTTATTTTTATTTTTAATACTGTGATACGTCCAAAATCTTTTCCTACTCTATCTTAGTATTTCAAATACATTCTGAAATCATTTCATATATAAAATAAACGGCCCAGAAAGGACAAATTAATTTAATATTTGAATACATTCCAGAATAATGCAACAGGTTATGAAATAAATTGGGACAACATTTTTTTCAACAAGTTGGAATTTGGAAATGCAGTGAAATTAAAACGAGAATATCGGTCAGAGACCGAAGACTTATCGATCGAAAGTTAGGGGATCCCCCAAAACAGCGCTCTTACTCCATAGTGACACCTTGTGTCCCCTCACTAATTAATTAATACCTCGCTAATTATACGACATAGTTCATCCGGAATCAATAGGCTTCTGGTACGACATATGATGAATGCACATGCAAAATCTGGAGAAGATTCAATCTCTGTTTCGTGAGATATCGCGTGCATCTAACAGACAGACAGACAAATACCTATCAACATACTTACCGATTAAAATCGATAAGTAATGAAAAGTAATTTGACTGATTTTCCATTTGTAAAGTTAGAGCTGTTGTTTATTTGGGTCTGATTGAAATAAGTCAAGGTTTCAACGGCTTAATCCTAATGTCGGAATGAAGGCCCAAACTCATGCCCGCAGGCCACATGTGGCCTGCCGCTACATTATCTGTGGTCCGAGTCGCATTGGCGGGAGAGTGAAAAAAACGCATTTGGTGTTGTTTCGTCAAAAAAATAATTTTTTTGCAAGTTTTAGTGGGGTTTTTGCATGTTTTAGCTTGATAAATGACAAATAATGAAAAGAGTTTGTTTTGTATTGCACTGTTTACCTATTCTTGACACTATTGTGGCCCGCGAACAATATGAAAATAATAGTGTGGCCCGCGAGGCCAACAACCTACGACCACCCTGGCCTAGACTATCTCATAAAGGAAGGGGTTCTTCTAATAAAGGGCTATTCTTGGAATCGGAGCACTGTGCTGTAATGACTGCATCAAGAAATTTTGACAATGCAGCAATGTAAGCGTATAAATATGAAAAGCTATGTTTGAGTTATTGGAGTTTTATGAGCAGTTAGTTGAATCGTATTTTAAAATTGGGCTATTGCAGTAAGCTTATTGGCTATACCCTATTTAAATAAAGTTTTTCAATACTGTATTTCTTTTTGACATAAATAAAATAAAAATCATTATAGACGGATAAACAATTTCATAATTAATAAAATATATAGCAGATTCACATTGTAACATTTCCATTGAAAATCCTATTTCTGTATTTGGTGTCATCATCGATTATAATTATGTTCCATAATGCCATTAACCATTATTTTGATCAATGCATGAAAAATGACAAGTCCATTCATCTGACACAAATAACTAATCCCATACCAGTACCCGACATGGACTGGAAATCAGACGAAAGGCCGTGGTTCGCCATGAGCTTAAGCTGTCTTATCAGCTTACCTTATTCTTGTGATAAACATAAAAATATAAGGCTACTACAGTACTAGATACTGACATAAAGGTGAAATCCTACTTCAGTACAATTGTATATTGGCACAATTGTATAAGTAATATGGTTACATAACTTCACTGAAAAACGCAAGACACGTTTGTCCTATTGCAGCATTCACCAGGTCCGCAAACCATCCGCACTGAACAAGATAACACAACTGCGATGCAACTCAGAATTTATTCAACAAACCGCGCCAAACTCGAGCGCAGACAGCTCAATTCAAAACAAAAATCTTGTCTTATGAATTTGCGACGGTCGCTAACGCATTCAAAAATATGTCTGTTGACGTACATATCCATTTTATAATTTTGCTTAAAATCAAGTCACTTTTAAAATCGCAGTCAAATGCATATTTAAATATGAAACAAGCAGCGAAACGGCGACAACCCGTAAGCTATTTTGCGAAAAGTAGAAAACGAGACATATTTCTGCGGGCGAAAATGGAGATTTTCGGTTAACCTACTCGTTTTAATACAAAAATACCCATTTCATCTGCAAAAGTAGTTTATATACAACAAATTTAGCTATAACTTCAGTTAATTAAACTAATTTTAATTCGAAATAAAGCTATACAAAAACTCTCTTTCATACAACGAATATCGCGAGACAGCGAACAGGCAAAGTCGCCATTTTTATTCAACGTTTTCTCACATGGTGGAAAAAGGTTTAGCGCTAATAAAATTATTACTTACTAGCGACATCTGCCGAATACGGATTTCAAACTTTAATTAACAAAATGTTTTTTGTATTTTTTCATCGAATTTGGATGTACCACGCATTTCAGCAAAAATGGTTACTGCAGTTTGATTTGTTAAGGAAAATTGAATTTACCGACCGACTCCTGAATAGACTGATCGCGCGCGTTTATTTTCGAACGTATTTGAACCGCATTATTGTTCTTTTCTTGTCATTGTTGTAATCTGCTTGTATGAAGAAGTCTGATTTTGGTCAGACGAAACATTACAGAAATACGATTGTGTTAGTGTGCAGCAGGACTTGAATTGCATATTATGGTATTTTATTCCTGCTACAGCATCCTTGCATCATACGCATACGGAGCCACTAGCGCAAAGGCATTGAGAAAGGATTGGGAGTTAGTCTCGTGCACCTCTACAGATACCGGTAGTTATGATCGATGTTAGTTGGTTAACTTGCAAAATTCATATGGTATTTAGTTACCATTAACATCAGTAATGTTGAAACTCTCCTCCCCAATCTGTTGATTTAAATGTCAGAACCTTGGGTTTCGCTGCTCGATAACAGTTCCGGTTCCCCGCGGCTTACCCTTCCGCAGTAACGTAAATATCAATTTTTCAATCAATTGCATGGTTTTTGTTCACTAAATTGAACTTGACTTGACTTCCCCATGTTTATTTGTTAATTTTTGCATTTAGCTTTTCTTTGCCATAAACGCAGTCGACTTTTTTCTACCCGTTAGGATTCAAATCTAATTGGCGATCATTCAAGCAGACAAGTTACCAGACTATGAAGAATATCTTTCTGCATGTAGGATTTTACCGAATGTCATGTAGAGGTATGGTCCCGGATTAACTGGTAAAATTTGGGTTGAAATGGGTTGTAAGGATAGGATTTATATATTTATCTCGGGAGAAAAAAGTCGATAAGACGGCTCAATCATATGAAGAACCACGGTCTATCGTCCGGTTACCAGTCAATGTCGCAGTGGCGGCGCGTCAATAGGGCCAACCGGGGCAATGCCCCGGTTGTTTTTTCGGTATAATAAAAAATATTCGAAAAATACCTCACTATCGGTTGCACAGACTGTCTACACTAGCCATATTCTCCCGACATGGTTCATTTTTCGCTCGCAAAGCCTTCACCGAACGTCGACGGGGCGACGCCGATTTTGCCCCGGTTGCTCATTGTATATCGTATTCTCTCTTTTATCTTCCACTCGCCGCGTTTGTCTCGTTTGTTTTCTGTTTATTTTACTAAATCATCGGGGCCGATCGGGGCTAGCCCCGAAATTATGACGACACAATGCCGACGTTTCTTACAACAACGTGTTGACATATTCTCCATTCCTTCTCGTTCGTTGATTGCTTGAAGAGTTGATAGTTTCCTCGCCTTCGCTTTTGTCGCTTGTTTCGCTATTTGAATCAGTTAGAGACTTTTAGTCCATTTGCTTTCGGTTTTCCACATTCCTTTTGAGCTCCTCACTTCTTTCCGGCTTCGCATTTCTTAGCCTTAGACCTCATAATGAATAAGGTTGATGCACTACTTCGCTCTCAATTTTCGCAGCTGCCGCTGGAACAAAAATTAGAGGTACAACGTCTTGGGCCTTATCAACCAAAAAATTGTTCACTGGAACAATCCCATGACGGAGGAAAGCGTCGGCGTACATTCTGCGCAGAAACTTGGTATAAAAAACACGAATGGTTGTGTTACAGCGAGGACAAAAATGCACTTTTTTGTTTTTATTGCCTACTTTTGGCTACCGTGACTCACGTTGGTGTAAATTTGGTTTTAGAGATCTTAAACATCTTTCCGAGCGTGCCAGGGATCATCAATCTTCTATGGAGCATCTGGACAATGCAGTAAAATACCGAACATTCGGAAATGTTAATATTGCAGCACAGTTGGATGAAGGACGCGCGGTTTCTATTCGTCGGCACAACCAAAACGTCGAGAAAAACCGCCATGTTCTCGGTCGATTGATAGATGTTTTGAAGTTCATTGGTTGTCACGAGCTGTCCCTCCGTGGGCACGATAAACGGGCTAGCTCTTCTAATAGAGGGGTATTTTTGGATATGGTGGAATACACCGCATCCCTAGATACAGTATTGAGAGATCATCTTGATGCCGCAACTGTTTCGAAAAGGACATCTAAGGATATCCAAAATTTGCTCGACTTAATGTATAAAATTTATTTACAACATTTGGCTCTGGAAATTGAGAATTGCCAGTTCCTTTCGATTCAGTCTGACGAGACAACTGACATCACGTGCGTTTCCCAACTGGCTGTGATTTTTCGGTTTGTGAAAGATGGTAAACCTACCGAGAGATTTCACAGCTTTGTACCAATCGTTGATCGCACGGCTTGCGGGATATCGGCTGTACCAGTGGCGGCGCGTGGTCATTTTGACAACCGGGGCAAGCTACTGCGGGACCAAGTCACCCCCATCTACGGAGACAGGATAAGCGCTGTAAGTTCTCCCATCATTTTATGAGTATAAAAACCATTCCATCGATAACAACCAATCGGCAAAAGCGACAATTTTTAACGATAAGAAAGTGTCTTTAAAACCGGTCCAAGTCAAGGGATTAATAAATATAGACATAGTTTATTTTGAAACCTATTTCAAATGGAAAGGCAACATTTACCCAGATAAATACAATGACATATTAACAGAAACTTCGGGAAAGCAGACAAAACCTAAAATAAGGTTTAAAACGTTACTATGAAGAAAGGAAAGGTAATGCAAAGATAAGGACATGCGTCGCTCACTCATAGATATATATGCTGCTAGACTTCTACTGCTTGAACATATATGCAACACGCCGCGGTTTCTTAGAAGCAAAATGCTCAATAACGCGCTGATTAAAGTCATGCATCCCAGAAATAACGTCTCTGTGAATGGATAAAACAGCCAAGGAATTTATTCTATCTTGCTTCATTGTGTTTCTGAGATACGTTTTAATACGTTTATCATGGGGTAAAATTTGGAGACAGTAGCCAACAAATGGATGGGAAATTGACGTGTAAATTTTGAAAAATTTTTGGGGTTCATCAAAGAGAACGCGGCAAGGTGTTCAGTGCGCAGACGATCGCCTATTTGATTCACCAGAATGTCACAGCATTCCTTTGCAGACAAAATCAAACGCTGCGTTGTTTGCCCGCGGCGTAAAGAAGCACTCCATGTGTCGTCGTATTTTATTTTTTCCCGGATACGAGATACAGCATCGCAGAAGTCTGAAATACACGACTGCACAGACGCTCCATCCATTAGCCTTGACTGCAATGTGGGGATAGATGATTGTGTGGGGATTTCTATTTCTTCCGCCGACGCAGAGCGAACATTCAGCACGCTGAAGCGTATTAAAACGTATCTCAGAAACACAATGAAGCAAGATAGATTAAATTCCTTGGCTGTTTTATCCATTCACAGAGACGTTATTTCTGGGATGCATGACTTTAATCAGCGCGTTATTGAGCATTTTGCTTCCAAGAAACCGCGGCGTGTTGCATATATGTTCAAGCAGTAGAAGTCTAGCAGCATATATATCTATGAGTGAGCGACGCATGTCCTTATCTTTGCATTACCTTTCCTTTCTTCATAGTAACGTTTTAAACCTTATTTTAGGTTTTGTCTGCTTTCCCGAAGTTTCTGTTAATATGTCATTGTATTTATCTGGGTAAATATTGCCTTTCCTTTTGAAAGAGGTTTCAAAATAAACTATGTCTATATTTATTAATCCCTTGACTTGGACCGGTTTTAAAGACACTTTCTTATCGTTAAAAATTGTCGCTTTTGCCGATTGGTTGTTACCGATGGAATGGTTTTTATACTCATAAAATGATGGGAGAACTTACAGCGCTCATCCTGTCCCCGTAGATGGGGGTGACTTGGTCCCACAGTAGCTTGCCCCGGTTGTCAAAATGACCACGCGCCGCCACTGCAATGTCGGGTATAGGATGGTGTGGCGCATCGCGTTAAGCGTTAGAAATACGCTCGCCACCGCAAATCTGATTACCCTATGTCAGGGTTGGCGAACCTTTTTCAATGAATGGGTCAAAAATTATATTTTATCGCGGAACAAAAAAGCGTGGGTCACAGATATTTAATCAATGTTTGTATCTATAAGAAAATTCTGAAACAAATCATGATACAGCGGTTCTGTTAATGTTGGTGTAGTTTAGGGCTTTACTTATACAGCACTTGTATCATGGACTTTTTATGGCACTCAAATTTATGAAATTAGAGTACGCATATGAATTACGTTTAGGATGATGCGGCAAATTATTTCACGGTTCCATAGAGTTTGGAGGGACTTCCACTCTGACAGTGGTATATTTTTCTATCAGTTTTAACCATATCAAAAGCAATTTTACACTGCCCCATTGGTATTTTAGGATTTTATTTCAAGTCTGAAAGATTCTGTATTCTCAACAGCATTGTAGGTGAGAAACTAATAAAATGCAAAGTAGCATCTAGTTCTCGTATAACCCCTAAAACAGTCAGCAGATGCACTTCTGAAAGAGACAAGACGTTGCGAGAAATGAACATCAATTGCATTGTTATGTCATAAACGATGTCAGAGCCAGTAGCTGAATAACGGCACACAACGGTGCAGACATGCGTCCAAGATTAGGGGTTTTAAAAATTACCATACTGGAAATTAACAATTTGAATATGAGCTGTCGCAGTCCTGACTGACCAACTGACGGTACATTATAATAGTTATTGTTAGATTAATTTAAGGCCGGTTTTATCACTGATATGTTAGCATCTTATTCGTGCCTTGGCGGGTCACGAATAAAACGCGGTGGGTCACTTTGTGACCCGCGGGTCAGTGGTTCGCCATCCCTGCCCTATGTGGATTCGCAGGTTAGATCCCAAGCGGGGATAACTATATGCGGAAGAATGGCTAGGCTCCTTGTCGCCGTAGGGTGGTTCACGTAATCGCTGGTCTATTACGGTTTCTTGCACCACCAAGTCCATGCATCTGAAAACGAATAACTGGCTAACTAATCCAATACCCGATGGACGAGAGGCCGTGGTTCACCATATGATTAAGATGTCTTACCGGCTTTCCTCTCCCCCGGGGATAAATATATAAATCCTGCTCTATCCTAATTAAAATATAAAGATCACAAGGGCTAATCAGCTTATCCGACTAGGAACTTTTGCTTTCTCTCTATTGAAGAATAAACACATCTTAATCAACAAATAAATTTATTATTTTTAATACTAAAATGAATACTAAAAGTAAATTGCGATTACTAAGTATATAACGGTTACAATCAACCAATGACCTTTATCCCTGCAATAGAGATGTCGGTGTCAGTAGAAAGTGATTAAAACTACCAGGACGGTCGCTAGAAAAGCAGAAAATCTGAAAGTCAGATGAGATCACGAATAAAATACGTAATAGGTATATTTTGAATTGAAACGATATCCCACAAATTAGACTTCAAAACGCTACACGAGATTGAACCTATAGGTTAGTTAAGACAATGCCCTGAAGTGCATGGACGACATTTTAAGCGTCTATGAATATAATATGCCTTTAAAAAACTTCGTCAAAGTTATTCTTTGCAAAAATGAATAGCTGTTTGACGAATCTCTGTTTTTCTAGCGATCACCCATAGACTTGGCCAGCACAATCCGCGTTTTATTTTAAGCCTTGATAAAAACTTTGAGCATTTTTACAACGGTTCCATTACATTTTAACCCACGTACATTTGAACCCACGACAATTGCACCTGCATACTATTGCACCTATAGAATTTTTTTCTTTACGGATACTAACCCATACTAACCCTAACCCATGGATTTCAGCACCCTCATATTGATTGAACTCGCGGATATACGGGTGCAAATGTATGGGTTCAAATGTACGGTCACCTTTTACAACAAGTGAAGATGAATCCCTCGTTTTTGGACACGTAGTGGACATAACGATCGTTTCAATATTATGTTGTTGTTGTTCTTTGACACGTTTTTAAAAAGTCGCTTTTCTCTTCGAATACTGGACCAACTGCTTTGAAATTTTCAGTGGTTAAAGATTAATTTTTCGCTAGAAGGCTATTAATTTTATTTATTTCAAAATTTTGCGTGAATTCTATGAAATTTGATATTTCTTCTAAAATTTTGCTGTATTATTTTTTATCCAAACGTCGGAAAACGTGTGTTTTCATGAGTCTTGAAGCCGTTGAAGATATGAAAAGCGTTTCAAGCTACGAAAAATCGCTATGTATGACACAGAAAGATGCTTTTATTTTTTACATTTTAAAAAAGAGGGAGGGGTGGGGGGGAAAGATTGTTCCGACCCTCAAAATCTCCCCCCTGACGACTACAAATCTTCCAAGTATTCGAGATTCGAAAAAAATATTCGATTCGATTATAAAATCATCATATGTTCGAAAATGTCCAGCCCTAGTCATGATCCCTCAAATTGAAACGGCATAGACAGAAGAGTTGAAAGATTTAAATCCAACGTGTTTATACATAGAATTTAAAAAAAGAGCATATGCTTTATGGACACAAATTTCAAATGACTATACGGCCAGCAAAATTCCAGCTAATGGTTAACCGAATGTCATATAATGCCGTGCCATAAAATGATAAAAAGAGCAGCAAAATATCGATGGTTTTCACTGTTTTTTGACGGTAATCAGAGATGAATAATAAATAATATTAAAAGCAGTAGTTTTCAAGCAACCCCTTCCATCTTTATAACTTGAAATCGGCTAGTCTGATAGCCAAGGTAGAAGGCGGTTGTTTGTACTAACAACATAAATAACAATAACAACAATACGACGTATAGGCACAAAATGGCGTATTCGGTAGGTTGACCAAATCAGTCATGCATAGCTCTATGTTGTCATGGCAACGTGCTAATTCATCCCAGGTATACGGACTTCATCATCCCGTCGGCTACTTCAGTCGAATATTCTAATTGAGATTCGAAAAATTGGCTTTCGAATTTTGGATGATTTTGAATAAATTTCATGTACTCTGGGTTTCCTGCAAAAATAAAAGAAAAACGGTGAAATATAAGGACAAGAAGATAACGGCGCTTCATGAGTGTGTGTACCAATATGGAGGTAACTAATTTTGTTCGCCGACTTTACATCAAGTTGTCAATCAAGCTAACACAGACGAACTCATAATAGTACTGAAATGAAGAAAATCGGGATAAAATTATGGCCTAATCCTAACCTGTGCACATATTACGGGAGTACTATTATAGTTAGCTTTAATGCCAAACAATACTTGTCTGCTACAATGTAGCCAGTGGTGGATTCAAATTTTTTGTCAGCCGGTTCCATCACATATTTTTCAGCCGGTTTTGTTAAAAACGTAATGTTTTTTCAGTAATGCTAACCGGTTCGCTGATCTCATAAATTTCGGTGAAACCGTTCTATAGAACCGGTGCGAACCGGCTGAATCCCACCACTGAATGTAGCTACAAAAATGTTACCTGGATAAAGCATATTGTCGGCGACAACAACCGATCCTTTCCGGAGCAATCCGGTTTCAACCAGTTTAATCAAGTCTCGTTTGTACAAAGGTTTATGATGGTCAATAAAAACGAAGTCTAGATGTTCGATGTTGTGTTTCGATTTTAGTGTCGGTATTACTTCTTCTGTTGGGCCGACAAAAACGGTTACCTGTGGTAAACATTGTTTGTGATTGTCATCTCGTGGAATATTACTTTTCGGCGGTGTGGTGCATCGTGCTTACAGCGTTAGGAATACGCTCGCCACCGCACCTCTGATTACCCTGCATGGGTTCACAAGTTCAAATCCCATGCGGGATAGTTATGTGCAAGAGGATTGCTGAGCTCCTCGCCGCCGTAAGGTGGTTCACGTAACCGCTGATCGGTTACGGCTTCCTCCCCCACCAAGTTCCTGCTTCCGAAACAAATAAATTACTAACTATAATTTTTTTGGCTTTTGATTCGAAATACAATTATTAAAACCAGTGCAAAACATGAACCTCACGATCTCGAGAGAATACATAGGATTAGAGAAGCTGCGCTTTGGTAACAATGCTGACTCAACAGGCAGGTGTTGCGGTATATATTGGAAAGGGTCGCGAGCTTGAAAAGTTTGGGTAGCCCTGATCTAGCTTACTGTACCTTATCTGAAAGTCCAGCGAATTCTACCAATTCCTCTGTCAACTTAGCACGAAGAGGATTAATTTCGATCGAGTAAAACTTCCCGCCTGGCTTCAATAACCTTGCCATTCTTACGGCACTGTATCCAATGAATGATCCTAACTCTAGGACGATTGTTGGGTCGGCTTTCTGGAATATTTCGTCGAGTATTTTCCCTGGAAAATAAAAAACGGTACTCCTGAAGTATGCGCACCAAAATGTCGCATAACCTGAACCCTAACCTGTTACACAACCTGAGTTCTGGTTGTGCGCCATTTTGGTGCGCATACTAGGAGGTCTTAAAAACTATTTACCTCAATGTAAAAGGTTTCTGGGATATTTTGTGCAAAGCCCCCCGCTGAAGTTCAAAATAGGAAATTTAGTTATTATGCATTTAGGGTGTGAGTAGATTGGGTTATTATTAATTTGGTATTTTAAAACGGGGCGGGGATGTTTCTCCCAGATCTCACATTTTTGGGTGCTCCAAGATGTCGCACAACCTGAATCCTAACCGGTACACCCATACTATGTTCAGGTTGTGCGCCATCTTGCTGCGCATACTTCTGAAGGTCCCATTTTTGCATTAGTGTCGCGGGGTTTTGTACAAAAAATCCCAGAATTTTTCTCGCTTGAGATTCGAAGCTGCGACGCCGGCCTAGGTACCGCTACAAACGACACGCTAAGCACAGGGGCGTGTCAAACTATTCTGTTGCTCGGGCGAGTCCCTGATAATGATTCCCCTTGTTATACTTAACTTCAAAAATAACTTTGGGGGATAAACAAATCGCAGATGTTGTTATACACGAAATAAATAAATTATAGGTCAATTAAAGGTGCTCCCGAAGTATGCGAACCAAGATGGCGGACATCGGAACGTAACTTGGGTAACAGGTTAGGGTTAGGCGATAATTTCTTTCCAATTCTCCTTATTTTAGTCCTATTATTAGTTCGAAGACTAGCCAAGAGCCTCCCGTAGTATTTATACCTAAAATTATGGCCTAACCCTAACCTAGTACACATATTACATTCCGATGTCCGCCATCTTGGTTCGCATACTTCGGGAGCCCCCAATTAAGAATGATCTGTATTGTTTTTATTCAAATCATCAAACTAACCAATAAACCCATCCCAATAACTGGCTGCTGCATCTACGCCTTTCTCTATAGACACGCCGCTGGCCCAAGAACCAATCAAATTGTTCCATACCTTTTACGTCACCAACGTTCATTATTCCTCTCACATTCCATCCGTATTCATCAGTGACTCTCAGTATGTCGTCAGGGTTGCCAGATTTTGCTTTCTCTTTAACATATTCCACCACGTCTTCAGGTCCTTCATGATAGTGAGCAGTCGGACCTGAGAAAATATTAAAATAGATCAAAGTTATATAAATGGACAATAAGAGCACTCATCGGTACCGGTAAGGCCTTCGAGAAGGATAGAATTTACAATATTTATCCCGAGGGAAAAGAAGCCTATAAGACGAGCTAATCATATGGCGAACCACGGCCTCTCGTTAGGTAAGAGATTAGTCAGCCGGTTATTTGTTTCAGATGCATGGTCTTGATGGTCGAGGAAGCCTTAAGCGACCAGTAAACCCAAACAGGATAATTACTAATTTTCCGCTTTGGGAGGCTTCGTACAAAAGATCCAATCAATCATTCCAAACAATAATAGGAATATAGCGACGGGTCAATATGTACATTTTGTAGCCTATCCATAAATATCAGCGAAAGTTTGTACCGGCTCGGCGGTGTGGCGCATCGTGCTAAGCGTTAGGAATACGCTCGCCACCGCACCTCTGATTACCTTTGGGTGGGTTCGCAGGTTCAAATCTCATACGCGTAATGGTTATGTGCCGCCGTGGGATGGTTCACGTAACTGTTGGTCGGTCACGGCTTCGGCCACCATCAAGTCCATGATTCCGAAAACAAATAACTGGCTAACTAGTCTCATATCCGACATGGATTGGTAACCGGACGAGATGCCGTACTTCGCTTCATGATTAAGCCGTCTTATCGGTTTTGCTAATCTCCCGGGATAAATATGCAAATCCTATCCTATCGAATCGAAGTAAAACTGTCTGACAAAATCGGACGAAAGTTTCCTCCATCACGTGATAGCTGTACGGAATTATTATTACTCATAATCACGCGCTATGGCATCATTATCCGTGTTTTTCACGTCATAGTCCTCGACAAATTATTTCGACGATTGACACTGCTGTAAGTTAACTGTAAAGGTGACTACAATTGAAAGTTGGTGATCGCAGTGACAGTATCTAAACCAGTGTTTCTCACACTTTTTAAGCCGTGTCGCCTTTTTAGAATTTGTCAATTCTTGCACCCCGCCCTCGAAAATAACTAGCCAACAAGGAGCTACGAAAAAGGATAGTAAGGCGAAAGTATGTTTTATTCAAAACACACATTGAAAATACGTGGATAGAAGTAGAACATAAACAATGAAATAAATGAAAAGTTTTCAGTATGATTTTGAATGCTTTGTAATACTGGAGAGGATGCGGGATTTCCATTTTGAATTTGCCGAAATCAGGCGGGGAAGATGAAATATAACGAATATTTTAACGAGATAGCGATGAGAGACCGCCGACTTATCGATCTGGCGGCGTGCCAATCGATCTGGCGGGTAATCAAGATCGATAAGTAATTAGCTTCACGTACCGCTTGCCTAAAATTCGACCCCATTATCTAACCCTTGGGTCAGGCCTTGTTAGTCACAGAGTGGGCATACTGGGTCGGAATCCATCCCCATTGCCTCAAAGAGAACATGATGGATCAACTGAAGAATTTCCACCCCAAGTTAGACGAACTGAAGAATTTCCACTCCAAGTTAGACCAACTGTAGAATCTCTACCCCAACTAAGACCATCTAGGTGGTCCAACGAAATAACCAGTAAGCCCCCAGCACATATATTGGTCGCCTAAAATTCGACCATATCACCAAAACAGTCAAGTGTATAATTTAAACTTCTTGACCAACGTCTTGTGTCGAGCTAACGAATAAAAGCTACACCTTCATTTATTTATCACGGAGTAAAACAAAATAACAATACTCACTTTCGGCTCTTTGATTTTCCATCTTCGCATTCACGATTAGAAATAAGATTTCTATAATAATGTTTAAGCTAAATAAGGAAATTATTTTTGACTTATTAAATATGATAATTTTAGTACACATATGGCAATTCCCATCAGGAACTGTAGTTTCCTAACGGAAATTCAACTGTGTACGGCATGTATAATGCGTTAAACGTGAGCTTACGCACATCGCTAAATACATCGGCCACTTAGTCTAAAGCAGGGGTTCCCAAACTTTTTCGATGCCATCATGTCTCATAATGTCGGGGGTGGGAAAATTAGGGCCCGATTGTTCCACAGTGCTACTTCTTATTGGACACGTTTAGTGGCCATAACGATCGTTTCAAAATTTTGTTGTTATTGTTGTTATTTGTCTCCGTCTCCATTTTTAAAAAATCGCTTTTCTCTTCGAATACTGGACCAATTGCTCTGATATTTTCAGTGGTTAAAGATAAAAGTTTTCTCCAGAAGGCTATTACTTTTTTTTTTGCTATGACGTCATCAAAATTATTGCCACTGGGTGGCGCTACGTGTCCATATATTTGAGCATAGCTCTCTTGTTATATAAATGTTAGCCTAGCTGTTGAACAAGATCAGGGTGGTCCAAGGTTGTGGGCTCCGCGGGCCACAAATTTATTTTTGCATTGTTCGCGGGCCACAACGGTGCCAAGAATAGGTAAACAGTGCAATACAAAACAAACACTTTTATTGTGCAAACACATAGTTATCAGACATAGCCATCCAAGGCTAATAGAATCCATATTCGATTTTTAGTTTTCTATGATGCCTATATTGTTAGCATATATTCCCGACCAAAAAGATAGAAAGCCAGATAAAGATTTTGACTGCCAAGCACATCATCCAACTTCGCTAGTTGCTTCGGCTAGCTATAAAAACTAGTCAATTCAGTGACAATTAGTGATGTAACAATATGTCGAAAGATTTTTCTGATTAATTTTATTACGAAACAACACGAAATGCGATTTTTTGATTATTCTCCGAATGTGACGCGGGTCACAGATAATGAAGCGGCGGGCCACATGTGGTATGTGTACCAGGTTAGGGTTAGGCTATAATTTCAGGTACAAATACTACGGGAGTCACTTGGCTCGTCCCCATACTCGTACTAGAACTAAAAAAGAGGAAAATTGGAATACAATTATGGCCTAACCCTAACCTGGTACATAGGTAGATAGTTTATTTGAATACTCCATAATATACACAAATTTAAAATAGAGAATTCTAGTCCGCCATCTTGGTTCCCATACTTCGAGAGTACCTTTGGAACTGTTCATTTCTCGCGCACTATGCATAAGAACTACGGGGCTCCCGAAGTATGCGAACCAAGATGGCGGACATCGGAATGTAATATGTGTACTAGGTTAGGGTTAGGCCATAATTTTAGGTATAAATACTACGGGAGGCTCTTGGCTAGTCTTCGAACTGATAATGGGACTAAAATAAGGAAAATTGGAAAAATATTATCGCCTAACCCTAACCTGTTACCCATGTTACGTTCCGATGTCCGCCATCTTGGTTCGCACACTTCGGGAGCGCCAGAACTACTTTATTTATTCAATCTTTAGTGGATTCTTAGCAAGTGCAAGTCGCATTACCGCTTTTGTACAGTTTGGGCAGTTTATTATGTGTTGGAGAAAAGGTATTATACCGGTAGTATTATTAAAAAACTGAAGAATATTAGTAATATAGGGCCTACTGCTGCGAATACAAAGCAAACTTGCTCCGCGGCTGGAAACGTTGCTCTCTGGAGGCACTTACTACGTGATCACACGTTTCGATTACAATACTTTCTCTGTATTACTGCTGTTTTACATACAACGGGCCATGTACTATGATATTACATACATACAATCATATAATAAACCGACGAGAACTCATACCACGCAAATACATCCTGAATTACTGCTACGTTACGAGTCATACAGGTACTCTCAGGTAAGGTTAGGTAATTTAACAATGCAAGATACTCCTAAAGTATGTGAACCAAGATGGTGGACACCGTACTATGTGTACAGATTGGGGTCAGGCCATAATTTTATTTCAATTTTGCTTATTTTAGTTCTGTTACGAGTTCGGGGACTAGCCAAGTGACTTTCATAGTATTTGTACCTGAAACAAGAGAGCAATGCTCAAATATATGGACACGCAGAACAATTCCCCAAAAATCATATGCGGTGACCAACGTCTAACATACCGGCGGTGACTTAGCAGTACCTGTATCGGGGTACCGTGACGGTACAGGGACTGTCATAGATATTTTAGGTCCTGTGACAATTGAAACATCATTGAAATATCTCGTGATATGAGTCAATTATGTACCGTATTATCGGATCAGGTACCGAACCACAGTCAAACATTTCACATAAAAACGTTACTAAATAACATGCGTCAACTTAACACCAGCCGAATCGGGGTACAATTTTTGGTACAGTGACTGTCATAGCCCTTTAGTGCTGATGGACAATTCGACTACACGGACAACTCACCAGTTCTAGGGTGGTGTAGCCAGTCTGCGGACAATTTCATTCAAACCGCTATAAAACAAAAACCAATATATCTAACCCGTTAATTTTTTCACCGTGGGTGCATTGGCGGCATTTATTCTACACGCTAAACCTCGTATTAACTTTATACGACAAAGGGTTGAAGCTATACAAATCCCCAAAGTACGGCACTCGAAAGACGTATTTGCGACCAGTGTGCGACCACGGATTTCAAGCCTTGATCATCGTTTATGCTGCGTCGAGACTATCGCATACACAGCCGTACAGCAATCAAACAGACAAAACACGGTGGTCGCAAATTGGTTGACAATTGTTGGTCTTGTGACAGCGTGAAAACATTGGGCTTCTAATTGCATTTCTGACCGTCATATATTTCAAGAACACGGTTATTTCGAACAAAACTCGTTAAATTATAAACAAAGCATCACATCACAGCAATCAAACAGACGAAAACACGGTGGCCGCAAATTGGTTGACAAAGATATTATCGACGTATCGGAAATGCACACCCCCTATTCCCCCTCCTTCAAATGTAGAAACGCGAAACTTTCAAATATGGTTAAAAGAAACACAACTCTACCCACCAGCCAAGTTTCATCTTTTTATTTCTCATATTTGTATGGATTTTCAAGCTTTTGACAGCTACGAGTTAGTTCAGTGTCACCGCGCTGTGTTACGGTACCAGAACTTCTCTTTCTTTAGAAGGTCCTGTCTTGTGACAGCGTGAATTGAGATTGCAAGATGGTCCGTTGGACACAAAATGGCGTAGGATATATGCAGAACGTTTAGTGACGTCATAACAAACAAAAACAAATCTTACAGAGCTAACAGAAATATTTGAAATAAATAAAAGTAATAGCCTTCTGGAGAAAAATTTCATCTTCAACCACTGAAAATTTCAAAGCAATTAGTCCAGTAATCAAAGAGAAAAGCGACTTTTTAAAAACGTGTCAAAGAACAAGAACAAGAACAACAACATAATATTGAAACGATCGTTATGTCCACTACGTGTCCAATTATGACCTAACCCTAATCTGGTACACATACCACGTTCCAGTGTCCGCCATCTTGGTTCACATACTTCGGGAGTACCCAGAATTGGAGGCGCAGTTCTTACCACTTCATGGCAGCTCCTGCCACGAACGAACCGCGGCAGCTCTTGCCATGGTTTTATAGCGCTATTCAGTAATCAGTATTAACGGTATATTCACAAATTAATGTACCAGATTTTAATTGATCATGTGGAATTATATCTACTTAAACCCTAACCCTAAATCAATCAAAACTGTATCCATAAGAAAAACGTTCCAACTTCGCAATATTTGTCACCATAATAGACAGCCCTGTTTTTACGGCCCACCTGCCGCGGTTACGGCAGCAAAATTTTACCTGCCATTGGTTTTCAATTTGCTGCCGCGGTAACGGCAGCTCGACATTGGTTTGTGTCCGCTAAAAAGTCAGTTGCCATGAGTTTGGCCGTAGCGGCCATGGTATGGAAATACTGCCATGGTTTTGCGGCAGCTGCAGATGCCACAGAATACTTAAAACTGCACTTGCAGAATTGGCCCAATTTGTTAAGCCCTACATGGAGGTGGTCGGTATGTGGCCTGAAGCCACGATCTTTAGCTCAGAACATGGAATACATTAGGGCAGGGTGGTCCAAGGTTGTCGGCCTAGGGGGCCACACTATTATTTTGGCATTGTTCGCGGGCCACAATAGTGCCAAGAATATGTAAACAGTGCAATACGAAACAAACAAATTCATTGTCCAAACATATTGATCATTATTTGTCATTTATTAAGGCTAAAACATGCAAAAGCCGTAAAAAAACTTACTAAAACGTGCTAAGATCTTACAATATCTACATTTAGTGTAAGATTTAAACTCTTCATAACGTTTGCTGTTTTAGATTGTCACCGACGCAACTTGCAGATATATCCAACAAGAATTGTGGTATTTTCTCTCCGATATCCAGTCGAAAATCTGTTTGAATTGGTCAGCTTGCTTTTCAAACTCATGTTTACAAAATAACTTACAAATAACTGCAGATTGGTTGATTACCGAATTTTAGGGTTATTATACCACTATTCACGACTAATCTATAGGCTCTCTTCTCACGCCCTCGGCAAAATAATCTAGCGGCTTTACCAACAGACCTTGCCTAAAATAGCAATACTTTTCTACTGCATGTATCTGCAGTATGCACCCAAGCGATCTCTAAAACATATGCTGAATAACTGTAGTACGAATAGATAGTCGAATACCTTGAGGAATTAGATCTGTTAAATTGATACTCCCGAAGTAAGTGAACCAAGATGGCGGACATCGGAACGTAGTATGTGTACCAGGTTAGGGTTAGGCCAAAATTTTATTCGAATTTTCCTTATTTTAGTTCCATCATGAGTTCGGGGACTAACCAAGTGACTCCCGTCGTATCTGAAATCATGGCCTAATCCTAACCAGGTACACACACTACGTTCCGGTTTCCGCCATCTTGGGTCACATACTTCGGGAGCACCGTTATATAAGCAATGCTAATCTAACACGAATATATGTTTTACAATCTTGAGAATTCTCGCTTTATTCACTTGTTATCCTTTCCTGAT